AGATTTTGATGTTTCCCCATACACACGGAATACCCAAGCATACTGCCCAAGAGGCGTTTCAAAGATGGCCGCCAAGTGAAATGACTTGCCTTAAAGAGACTTGACTTAACTTAGCTAAATTTAACTTAACTTTACTTAACTTAGCTTGACTTGATTTAACTTGACGTGATTTAACTTACTAACATTAACAAATATTTATAAATACAGTTGTACATTTATTAGAAATTGTTTGTTCATGTAAGTAAATATAAACTATCATTAAATAATGGACCTAATGGACCACTTTTTTAAAATGTTACCTTTTTTTTTTTTTTTTTTGAATAAAGTATACTTCAAGACGAATTCCCTTGTGCAGGGGGTAGAGAGCAGTGAATAATTTGTAAAGAACAAGTCGGTCTCAACACAGTTCCTTGGCTGTTTCTCAATATGCATTTGTTTGCGTTCTTGCATCCTTGTGTTCTCATGTAATGTCATCCTCAGCTGGCAAAGTTCAGTTTCAAAACTCAAGACAGCAAAAACAGAAGATGTGTAAAAGTTCCTGGATGTGTTCTTGATATCACGGTGGCATCGATTAAGCACAAAATTTGCTCGAAGTACCAAAAGTCATTGCAACTGAATAAAAAAGATGGGAAGAGCAGCATACTATACCTGACTATTAATAAAGTTTAGAGATTATCTCAGGAGTTTCCCTAAATGAGTGAAAGTAAGCATTAACATGAAAATCTTAATAAAGGAATAAACATATTAAGGAAGTTTGTTTACTGAAACTTGTATTAAAATCTTTGTTATTTGTATTGTGCAAAGTATATTTATAAGGTTTTTGTGCATGTTATATGTATTGAAAAGGAGAAAAACATTAAAACGTTGTATGAATGTTTAAATCATTTTCAGTTAAAACTATGTGAAGGTCATGTGACCATTAGGGAGAACGCAGCATTGCATTTCACAGTTCGAGATCTTCCGAGTTTGTTCTTTAGAGGTAACCTGGCAAGACAGCTCTCCACAAGACTACAAGTGTGTTCTCTGTGTTCTTGGATTTGAGAAAGAGCTCTTGTTGGAGCTCTTTTCTAATGAGCTAGTTATCTAAATTAAACAAATGAGACACTTGAAATACAGTGTGGAGGCTCTCTGTAACCAGGATTGAGAACAGCTGTTAAAAAGTTTTGCTATTTGTTTGTAATTTCTTCAAATGCCTCATATCAATAGAAATAAAAGAATCAGCGATTTATTAGGATAAAGAATGTGTTTCATTTTGTTGAAAGAGCTTTACTCATTTAATGCATTTTTCGTTATAACAGCTGCTTTGTATGTGAATCAACGCCCACTGTGAGCGAAAATTATGCCCTTTCAACCTCCCATTTTAATGACTTTCAAATAGTGAGTGACTAATTGTAGAGAAGCTTGTTCTTTTGTATAAATTTCAACCTTACCAAAATACTGGAGATTTCCTATTGTTTTGCTTTGCGGTTGAAAAATATGGCTTCCTGAGAAGCGATGCTTTTGCAAGAAAACCTTTCTCCACACTCTCAGGTTGTCTCAAGTAAGCTTTTTAGTTGTACTGTACTGTATAAGCACCTGCTGCAAGCAAGGGTATACGAAGCTTATAACTTAAAGTGTGAAGGTGTATTTTATCCCATTTTCCACGCAGGTGAAAATCAACCTGTCAAATCCCCTATGAAGCCTAAAGCTGACAGAAAGTATTGTGTGAATTTGCCATCCCTAGCTTGGGGACAAGACAGGGAAAACAGACATGCAGTTTGGAAGGAAGCTGTAACTTCAGAGCTGGGAATGGCGTTTTTGAAAAATTAACCTGTATTTATTTATAATTCCGCTGAAAAACATTAAAACACTGTTAAAAAAAAAAAAACAATTAAATTAATATATGTACATATACATAAATATGCTGTAGACCAAAAAAAAAAAAAAAAAAACTAAATATTAAACATTAGAATAGGGCGAGACATATAGCCCCATCCCCTTTATTAGCAAAAAAATTAAAAAAAAAGAAAAGAAAAAAAAACAGCCAATATTGTTTTATTTTATCACAATTCAGTCAGTGAGAGTGGTCAAAATCAAGTGCATGAAATCAAAAGCAAATGAGAATCATCTTGATGGGGGCGGCACATGTTAGATACTAAAGAGTATTTGATTGATAGGAAGATTGGATGTGAAACTGAAGAATGAGGTCATGTCAGAAATATTGTTGATCTGTTAGAGGAAAGTGACAAACTTCAAGCTCTGGATGCTTTTCATATTAGTTTAATATATTCTAAATGTGGAATTTTCAGTGTTTTAGAGCATATGCTTTAAATTAGCATGCTGATACTAGCATAAAAACCCCTTTATTTAAATTTCACAGGGCTTTTAAATGTGTGGTATGTAAGAATGACACCCAGTGGTTGAACTAGGTCTTAATTCAAAACGCTTTTTCACCTGGTCCCTCCTCTGATGACTTCACAAAAATGCAGGTTGCCAGATTGACAACACCAACAGGAGTGAGCATAATTACACTGTGTCCTAACTGTGTGTGATGACATAAAAAAGGAATATTTTTAATGTTTTTGTCCTAAACATCACCTAAAATTTTTATTTTGGAGACTGTTGCTGTCCATATACATTGAGGTAGCCTTCATGACTGAAAAGAAATACTCTGTGTTTTCCACCAAGGCAACCTGGGGTGACGCAATATAATTGGCAGTGGGCGGATTATAGAGACCAAAACAAAGACAGACATTCCAACACAGAATGCACATTTTTATAAGAAAACTAGACAAGTAAATTTTACGGACAAACGTTATGGTGGCCTGAGAAAGCCTAATGGTTGAAGTAATTTAAAAGTTTACATAATTGAAGTAGTTTTTAAGAAGATTGAAACAGTTGGCATCAAAAGATAACTACATATACAGTATGTTACCATGTTTCTAGTATGGATCAGCATGTTTTCTGCTAGGTGATTGCTAAGGTGTTTTGAGTTATTACTAGGTGGTTGCTAAGGCATTGCTAGGCAATTAGGGTATTATAGGTGGTTGCTTAGGTGGTGCTAGATGGTTGCTAGGGTGATCTGAGGGATTGCAAGGTGATTGCTAACATAAATTAGCATGGTTATGAATCAGCATGTTTCTAGCATGTTTTTAGTAAAAACTAGCATGTTTTTAGCACGATGTTAATATGAATTAGCTATTAGCTATTAGATATTATATTTATAGGATGAATCAGCATGTTGCTTGTTTGATTAATACGTTTGTTAGTAAGTTTTTTTTGTAAGGATTAGTATGTTTTTGTGTTTATGGAAATTGTTAGTATGGATTAGTATGCTTTTAATATGTTTCTAGTATGTATTAGTATATTTTTAGTATGTTTGTTAGTATGTTTTAGTAGAGATTAGTACAGTGTTTAGTACAGAGAACCACCAGCTCTGCACATTTTTTATGTCTCCTTAACACACCTGATTTAGATCATCAGCTCATTAGCAGAGACTGAAAGACCTGTAATGGGTGACAGACAAAGGAGACATCCAAAACATGCTGTGTTGGTGGTCCTCCAAGAATGTGGTTGAGAAACACTGCATTAGTATATTGCTTGTATGGATTAGTATTCTATTAGTATGTCCAATGTAAAGTGGATTTTTTTTTTTTTTTTTTTTTTTTACAATGGAAGTTTATAGGACAGCAGCTAGGGTTCCATAAGTGGTCGCTAAGGTGTGGTTAGTAAATTGAAAGGTCGTCAGTGATTGGCAGATTGTTAGTTGGAGTTTAATTGATTTGTTAAATCTGAGTTAAATAAGCCCAACCTTAAGTCTGCATGACAGTCTGGTGCAAAGTTATGAGGTCACAAAGTTTGGTCTAATGTTAAGTCAGTATGACTTTTCTGAATTTTTTTGGTCAGTTTTCAGAAAACCACATGTTGGATCAGTTGGAAAAGATAACAAACTGAGTCAGTGCAGTTTGGAGGTCTGGTGTAAGTTTGGTTTTTGAAGCTTGAATGGTTTAGGAATGCATGTAGAAATTAGTCTCAGAAGAAGACAGAAGAAAAAGTTTATGTAGTATAACAGTATATTGACTCAATATACTCTATATCAAACACACCTGAACCAATTAATTAGGACCTAAAAACCATGTGATAATTACAGGCAGGTGTGTTTGATATGGGTTGCAACTGAAATCTGCAGGAAGGTGGCTCTCCAGTAACAGGGTTGGCCACCCCTGACTTAGTACCCTGCTGAAAAATCCAGCTTAAACCAGCCTAAGCTGGTTGGCTGGTTTTAGCTGGTCACCAAGGCTGGTTTTAGAGGGGTTTTGGCCACTTTCAGGCTGGTTTCCAGCCATTTCCAGCCTGGTCTTAGCTGGTCAGGCTGGGAGATGACCAGCTAAAACCAGCTTGACCAGCCTAGCCAAGCTGGAAGTCCAGCCAAAACCAGCTATATCCAGCTTAAACCAGGCTGGTTAAGCTGGTTTTAGCTGGATTTTGCTGGTCATTTTCCAGCCTGACCAGCTAAGACCAGGCTGGAAATGGCTGGAAACCAGCCTGGAAGTGGATAAAACCCCTCTAAAACCAGCCTGGTCGACCAGCTAAAACCAGCCAACCAGCCTAGGCTGGTTTAAGCTGGATTTTTCAGCAGGGTATGTTTCTTAAATATCTGCAAAAATATGCTTAATGTACTTAAGTTAAAAACAGTATTTTTAAATAGTGTGTGTAATGTGCTGTGATGTCAGAGTCCGATAAATGACCAACAGCTGTGAGCTGCATCAGTCCAGGGCGTTATGGGATGTGTAGTCAGATGTGAGCAGATGTGTCTTGTAGGCACTCCATATGATAATCAGTAAAATAATACACTCTAATAAATATATATGTAAACATTATGGCTTTCTTCTTCTGCCAACAGATTGTCTGAGACTGAAACTAATGATCAATAAGCTGTGTTATCAGCCAAAATTGCCACACACCAAAGATAATGAGTAATCATGATACAAAAGAGATTTTTTGTTTGTTTGTCTTCTCAGTGTCCTCCTGGATTGAGCCCGATGAAGGATGGCACCGGTTGCTATGACCACCACATTGGCATTGACTGCTCGGACGGCTTTAATGGGGGCTGTGAGCAGCTGTGCCTCCAGCAGCTGGCACCTCTGGAGGAGGATCCCACTCTCTACAACATCCAGATGTTCTGCGGGTGAGATTACACACTTTACATCCAGATCTGGACACGCTAACAGGGCTTCTTTTTTTCACGGTTTCAGTCATGCAGCAGGGAGTGCGTTGGTATTTACGCCTGCTGTTTCTGAAGACTGAATTACTGCAGTTTTCTTTTGAATAATGGCCTGAAATTCACAGCAAGTGCATTATGGTTTGTTCAGTTGATTATTCATGCCATTCACAGCAACTTACAGTAACTATTTTTACACATATTTTCTCAGTCCACAGGGGCTGTTTGTGTGAATTGGCGCACATTTTACCTACTCGCGCATTTATGGCTTTATTTGAAGTGAGCAGGAAAGTGGATTTAAACTGAAAACTGGCAAATCTGAAATTGCTAGTTGGAACTTACAATCACACATTTAATTGCTAAAAATGTTGTAAGTGCATGCAAGGTAAATGTACAGTGTTTTTTTTTTTTGTTTTGTTTTTGTAGCTTGCAAAAGCATCTTTGTCACACGCAGAAAAAAAAAACTATGGTGCTATGGTTTTGGTACTGATTTTAGGTCATCGATATATAAAGATACATCCACTCTTTATCATTATTACTGTTTTTAAACTTTTTTTTCCAGTAAAAACAGTAACATTGACAAGCATAATGTTCTGTAATCTAGTTTAGTTTAGTTTAGTTTAGTTTAGTTTAGTTTAGTTTAGTTTAGTTTAGTTTAGTTTTTTGTTTTGTTTTGTTTTGTTTTGTTTTGTTTTGTTTTGTACTATGGATGACTACCAGCAAAGAGCATAGAATAGAATCGCCAAGAGGTGACACTCAATAGAACGTTCCATTGCAACAGCAGCGCCCAGCAACAGCCCCGGATTCCGCCATTTCGGAGTAAGAGCGATCAGCTGTCTATTGGATCTTATTGCTGTCCTTATGGCAAGCAGCTGCTTTGGTTTTTATTTATTTATTTATTTTTTAAAAAGCGCATTAAAGCTGAGATACAACCTGAAAGACGACAATACAACACTTACTATCACAATTAACAGCACTTTAAATAGTTTATTTTACAGACTTATAATATGCTGTTGTTCTATTGAAATTTTCATTCCAAAATGGCTGCCACACTATGTAGTGGCTGTTTCCCAAATTGCTAGTGTTGCCTCTTGGTGTTTCTATGCTCTTTGCTACCAGTATGTGCCAGGTATTAAACCTAACATTAATTTTATCCAAAATAAACTTCAAGAAAAGGCAACAATAAATACAAGAATAGTTTTGAAAGAAACAATGTAATAAATGCTGTTTTTGAGTTAGTTTCCCTCTAAACATAAAATGCAAAAAAATGAGTCTGCATAAAAGCAATAAATAAACATAAATGAGGTTGAGGTCCCGATCTTCATCTTAATTTCATGATAAAAAATTTTATCTTTACTAAAGTTGCATTGGTGGAAAGAGTACAGAATAATCATACTTTAGTACCATTTCTTGCTCAAAAATGCAGTGCAAGCAAAGTAAAAGTATCTGTTGTAAATATTACTCAAATTATGACTAAAAAAATAGCTCTGAGTATTACACTAGGAAAGGCTAATGTATTTACAAGCAATTTGTGCATGTATTTGAAAACGTAACATTCTGTAGTGCATTTAGTGATTGTTTAGGGCCATTTGGTGATTTCAGTCATCATACAGTAAACATCCTTCATCTTCCCATCAGTGATATAGTCTAAGCAGTCTCTGGGTTATTGTGTGTAAAGATTTTGGACCTCTTCTTGGACACTTTTTAATGCTTCCAGATGTTTTGCTGCAATTACGAAGTGCCCAGGACTTGAGTTAGATCAGTATTATGCGATTTACATTCTATGTGTGATTTGATTGGATGGGAATGACAGGACTGATTTTGTACTTAGCCAATCGCCATAGATAAGAAAAAATAAAGCATTGATTGCAGTTTGAAAAAAACTAGTTGGGTAAAAGTACAGATACAGCACTAAAAATGTTCTGAAGGGAAAGTAAAAGTGCAAAAAAAAAAACTTGTTAAACTACAATTTCTGAGAAATTACTACTCGTAATACTACTCGATTACAGTATTTTGAGTATTTGTAATATGTTATTTTACACCACTGTAAAGTTGTAAATAATTTTCAGCTTTGTGCTTTATATATATATATATATATATATAAGAAGAAAGATATGTTTTCTGTCCTGTCACAGTAACACAACATCACATGCATCACACAGCACCATTCTTTTCAGACTTTCCTTTAAAAGTCTGAGAATGTAAAAACCAAAATAAATAGCTACCTTCTTACATCTTCTCTAAAACGCCCAGTGTGACCTATTCAGAGTGGCTGAGATCATTCGCTGTTACAGCTAAAGGTGGCAAATGTGCATAATTCTCTTTTCCTCTCGAGATCCTGATAATGTGACAGGCAATCCGAAGCCACTTAAATGGTTGTCTGTGATGCGGATGTGATGACAGTTTCCTGTAAAACTGTAGTGTTACCAGGAGAAGTGAGACTGAGCGTTTAAGCCCTGACGCCTCTTTCTCTCTGTTAGCTTGTGTAGAACAGAACAGACGTGACAGCGACGTTTCAAAGGCCCATAAATATAAACGACTCCCGTGAACTGTCACACTGCTGGGATGATACTGTTTTGCAGAAAATAAAAAGAATTGTCAATCTTATTACCTGCATCTCAGAGTAGTTTTGAATGTACTACTGCTTTACATTGTTCTTCTCCATGACGTGAAACAAACAAACAAACAAACAAACAAAAAAAAACGAAATGAAGGAATGAATGAATGAATGAATGAATTAACATAATTTTTTTTATTAATGAATGGCTAGGAGTTATTATTATTTAATAAACACAAATGCATTACAGTACACAACATGACTCACAATACATATTTTAGAATTTTAAGTAATAAATATATGTATTTAACTGAAAAAAAAATTGAAATACGTGTATTTTGTCTTTTTTTTGTTTTGTTTAGTTTATTATACTAAGTCTCTGCATTTTCTGTATAAATAGAATGTATGCATTAATGGCATGCATATTGTTATGATCACCAGCGATAAAGCAGATTGATGGAGAACTAAAATTCTGCCACTGAAACAAATTACAACTCCCAGATGTCATTGCTCGAATCACTCTTGTCACACCTAAGTCTTTTAGTCATTCAGACACTAACACAAACACACAACAGAAGTTCATCATTGAATTTTTACATGGACTATATTTACACCTTTCACACTCACATTGCTGAGTCTTGTTATTCTGTGAACATGACTAAGCGTTTTTCTTATTTTGCCTTTCTTAGGTTTTGAGCTTTGCTTTGTTTTATCATACAGGTGTCCCTCGCCATAACGTGGTTCACCTTTCGCGGTTTTGCATATTTTTTAGTCCAATTTGACTATTTTTAGTCCATTTTGACAAACTATTTTTTTTTTTTTACAAAGCATTGTGTTCTTTACCCCGATTATCACATTGTGTTCAGCGTCCTAATTAGCGCATTCTGTTCTCCGTCCTGATTTGCTGTAAACCATTGTCAATCAATCTCTTCCGTGCTGTGTCTCCTGTACAGTACAGAATGCGTTCAGCTTGCCAAGTTTACCTGAATCTTCGATCGCTAGCAGTGGCACTCTGAAGTGCTGTATTGTATGTTTGCAAGTTTTCTCCCCTACAAACTGCACAATGTAGATGAAACATTCTGCACCGTCAAAGTCACTCATAGTAGCACCTAAAAAGCAGATGAAGATGCTAGCCATCGCACAAAAAAATTGACTTTTTGACATGCTGAAGGAAGGTAGAAGTTACGCAAGTGTTTAAACAAGAGAGAAAAGTGTGAAAATGTTAAGGCCTATCTGAGAAAAATGTATTAGGTGCATTAAGTGTATAAAAAATAAAAGCAGACTACTTTGTGGATTTCACGTACTATGGGCTATTTTTAGAACGCAACTCCTGCAATTAACGAGGGACCAGTGTATGCTGCTTTGCCGCCTGTCCTGACCATTCACCTGTGACTCTGACTACTATCGTTCATTTCCTCTATGCTCCTGTTTGCCCCTGTTTTGACTGTTGCCTGCCTGACTATTTTCTTAAATAAACTGCACATGGATCCTCATCACCGTTGTCATGCATCCTAGTGTTACACATATATGGAGAGATTTTTAAATTTAAAGTTAAATAGGCACATATAAAATGATTATAGATTTTATTTCATTAATGTATTAAAATAATACAATTAAATTTTATAACAGATAAATTAAATAATATATCTACGCGTTTTAGATTTTTTTTTCTTAAATTTCATAGATTTGAAAATGATCAAAATAAGGAACAAAAAGTATTAAAGAATGAAATTATTTTAACCTCTGACAGTGCTCAGTATTATCTTACAGTATATAGGCAGAAAGGCACTCTTTTTTATCTCTGATGTGTTTATATCTTCTTCTTTTTTCTCCTCATTCCTCCTGATGTTTGCAGATGCATTGAAGATTATAAGAGAGGGTCAGATGGCCGCTCTTGTCAGCCACTGTCTGAGGCCTGCACAGAGGGACTGGACTGCGGGGACACAGCCGACATCCCAGCCAACCAGACTGTGTTTGGAGACCTCTTTTATGGCTATAATAACCACACCAAAGAGATCACATCTGGACAGATACTAAAAGCCACTTTTAGGTGAGGTTTTACTATGTTCACTAAAAGATGACTTATGTTGACCCATTTCACAGATTGTGCTGAGATAATGTGGTGGTGAATTGTCTTATTGTATTGCTCTTTGATTTGATTTCTCTTTGAAGTCAATGGCTCCTATTTCCAGTTCAGCATAATTTAATTTAAATTAATTTCATTTCATTTCATTTTTTTTTGTCTTTCTATATAAATAAACACGGTGGTATACATACAGTATGGCATGCATGTATTTTACAACTTATAAATACAGTATGTGTATAAAATCTTTAATTTTCTGATGTACTAAAATATGTGTTCAGTAATATTTTAAAATATATTTAGATACAAATATTAAATATAAGTAGTGTATATACCTGTTTAATTATATTATTTTATTGCCTACATCATTGTGAGGACAGTGGAAAGTTACAAGATACAAGGAGAGGAGAATGAGATCAAGAAATGACAAGTCGTTGCATGTACACCACTCACTTTATCATGTCTCTGAAAAACGGCTTTTATATAATGGCTTGAAAAAACAATATGAAAGGCAAGTCTGATACTTAACGTAAAATCATATTTATTAAGATTCACAGCAAGAAATCCATATGTAACATGTACACATGTAAAGGTATGAATAGTGTATTAGTTTAAATATGTGCCAGCACACGGACCTAGCCTTCCCTAGCCAATTCTTGGCCTGTCCAATGTTTTATTTTTATTTTTTTACCTACTATATCTTTTAGAATTGGGAAATTTTGTTTGCTGATATTTTTGGATCTGCCAACTTCTGAAAGCATATTTGGAGCATTGTCTCAAACAAAGACTATTCAAATCAGTTGTCACACCATCATCCATTCACTCATTCATAACTTTATTAGATACAACTGATCAATTACTCAATAGTGCAAAAATCCAATTAGGCAAATACATGACAATAATTTGGTGTCTTTAGGCGTGTAGAACCAGTCAGAGTCTACAGATATGTCTAGCTATTGTGCAGAGTTTTAAAAAAACTAAAATTCTATGGATTCATGAAAAATGATTTGGGGAGTTTAGTAATTAAAAACTAAAAACATGAGATGAAAAACAATAACTTTTAAATTTTTATTATTATTATTTTTTTTTTACAATGCAAACATACTACATACATACTAAAACCTGAAAATATTACTTTACAAACTGTATTGTAAATAAATCAGTTTGCATATTTTTAAATAATTTGCATTTTTGCCAATAAATTTACTGACTTTTATATAAAACTGAACAAGTTTATAATCAAGATCAGGGGTCTCAAACTCAATTTACCTGGGGGCCGCAGGAGGCAAAGTCTGGGTGAGGCTGGGCCGCATAAGGGATTTCACAAAAAAAAGTCCTCAAATGTCATTATTAACAGTTTTAATTATTTCTTCTGAACATGAAGTGTCCTGGACGTTAATAGAACATTGAGTGAAGATTATGAACAGTTCTTCTGAACATGGAATCTTTTGCCTACTTCTTGCGGCCAGAGACTTGACAGCGCTTCTTCTCACAAATCTTATATATGTATATATGTATATATATATATATGTATAAATAAAACACCCCCACCCCACTCCAGTCACATCAGTCTGTACCAGTCTGTATCTACCTATAATATATATAAGATGCAGGCTGTAGCTAGGTAGGTGGCAGGCTGCAGGGGCGGGAACAGCTTACCTTGGTTCTGGCCGGCGCGAGTTCCCTCCCTGTCTGGTTTATACTTCTGCGTCAAGTGACCGGCGCAATTCACGGCGCAGGCAACGCGTGCAGCTGTGCATTTATACTTCTGCGCGCTGTCTCTGTTGGTCTGCATTAACACTTCCGAAATGCTAGTGGGCAGTGAGGTGTAAATGTTCCTCTGTGTCGAGTTTCTTCGTTTCTGTTTTGCTATTCTGAACACTCCTGGATGTACAAGTGACTCAAACTCGCTCATTTTGAGGCAGGAACCGGCGGACGTGCAACAACTTTTACCATGAGGTAAACACAGAACAAAACTTTCCATCCGGAGCTGCTTTAAGGGACTCCACACTTGTAAACAATCGCTCGCGCCATTCTCGCGGCTCTCGGTCCCGCCCAGACTCGTCGGCGCTAGCAAGCCGACCAATCACAGAGCTTGCGATAGTGGGCAGATAGTTACAATTTTTGAGAGGTGCACGTCAGTGACGGCGACGGCCACGGCGAAGGACTATGCGTCAGCGCCGTAGCATATGCCGGTGTTTGACGCAGAAGTATAAATCAACACCTCCTGCCCGTCACAGCGTCTAACAAAGGGGCGGGGTACGTGGTGACGTCACCGGCATCCCCGCCCCTTTGTTTACACGGCGGGCGGGGAATGCCAGTGACCGCTGTGTACGGATAGAATCAGCGGAGCGGGGAGCGCTCTCTCTCCCGGCTCCGCTGATTCTGTCAGTGTACAGTAGTCGGTGCGGGCCACAAAATATTGCACTGAGGGCCGCAAATGGCCCGCGGGCCGCGAGTTTGAGACCCCTGATCAAGATGATCTGTGGAAGTTAAAACTAAGCATTAGAATAAGGGGGTAAACTATAGTCGCTTCAGAAGCTTGCATAGCCCACTAACACAAATTCAATCCACCTTCCTTAAATGAGAAATAAACATATATATTCCTACTATATATGTCAATTCGAGTCCCACTTGGAACCTGGGGGTGAGCAAAAATACCAGTGAGTCCATTTTACTGCCAGGAGTTGCCTTTATGTACACCTAATATGCTTCAGCTGAGCATCTTCTCTGAAAAAAAAAATTGTTTACATGAATTGTCGAGACCTTATTTACTGTAAATTAGACATGGGTAAATATAGGCTATTTGCATAAATAAAAATGAATGAAAACTGTTTTTAAATAATCACATCTTATCTACATGCTTATTGTATTAATTTGTAAATGTCTTGTTTAATATTTGTCATTAGAGATTTTAATGGCATTTAATATATTAACTATATTACTAACAGTGAAATATGAAAAGTTGCCAGATTGAGGACCAGGAGCAGGAGTATCAAGCCTAAAGGCTGATTTAAACCGTGTTCTATATAAAAGCAACAGCACACGGTAGAATAAATATTTTCTATATTAAAAGCAGATTTTGCTCTGACCAATTCCTCGAATTGATGGGATGTATTAGAAACGGCTTCTATTTCTTGCACCTGACCAACAGAAAACTGACAATAATCTTTATGATGAGCTTTATTCAGTGTTAAATGCTAATACTGTGAGTTTGAATGCAATTTTACATTACATGCATTGCCGTACTACTAAAAGCAGTACCAGATAGTTTAATATATATATTTATTAGGTTATAAACCTTACCATTTCGTGCGTGAGTGCATATTCTGTGCTTCTGAATGGCTGTATTTAAATTTATGTCAGGCAAATTGCTTATCACTGCAAATCTCTTCACGTAGTTTTTTGTTAGGAAACGAGGTTCCAATTGCTCACCTAATGTTTAGGCTCCTTATATTTATATTATTTGCTAATTAATAACCTCATGTGGAACTCTTAATCTGGGTCTCATTTTAGTGTGCTACTGTCCAGCAGAGGTCGCATTTCGGTCACTGAAGCATGCTTTGAGAGCCTTTCTGAATGAATGAATAAATGAATGAATGCGGTTTTCCACCAACCCAACCCCGGTTGCTGAAATATAATTGGCTAAAGTGACAGTGGGTGGGTTAAAACAACCAAAACAAAGACAGACATTCTGGCACATAACACACATTTTAAATGCAAAATATTTGACTTCAGCATTTTTTTATATAAACAACAATGTTCACTTGGCATGTTTCTTAAATATCTGTAAACACATTGTAGTATTTTTTATGCTTTAAAAGAGTCAAAAACTTACATACAACGCCTTTGATGCAAAGTTAAATAAGGCCTTCAAGAAGTCTCTGTTAAAAAAAGTGTGCTATTTAGAAGACAGAAGCAATAAATGTCATTTTTAAAAATGTACCATCATCCCTTAAATGTTAAGAATTTAATTTATTTATTTATTTATTTATTTATTTATTTATTTATTTATTTATTTATTTATTTTGCAGTTTGGTGCTAGCAAGGTGAATTAAATAAAATGGCCAATGAGTATGTGGTTGTCCAAAATTTAACTGTAGATCTTTAATGCATTACAGTTGTGCTATCTGGTCATTAAGCCTTATTCAATAACAGCATTATTCATGTGAAACTGAACACAGCAAAGTCTTGATCTAGTTAAACACAAAGACACTTTGAAGTTTTCTCTAATTGGAAAAAAGCATGCGATTTACTCTGCGGTCAGTTCAGCCTAAAGGTCACCTTCCAAAGTCATTGTTGCCTTCAAATTAATCACAGGGTCTTGCAGAAGCAGTTTCCTGCAGCAGTTTATCCGTTTACTCAACATGGTTTGATTGGCGTGGTAGTGAGGGAGGGAGGCTTGGGTGATGGAGAAATGGTGGAGGAGAGTTAATATTATCAAGAAGCGAAATCTCAAAAGCTCTGATCTCATTTAGAGGCACCCGGAGAGAAGTAGGGTTTAGACAGCCTTTGAAAAGCACAACCGCCCCTCGTGCTCCAGGACTTACTCTCTGTGCTGTTCTCTCCACCTTTTGAGAGGCCAGACCTCATGTGTGCTCCAATTATGTGGAATGGTAAGGAGTAAATTAAAAGTGACCATAAGCAAGTTTGGTTTAATGGGGCTTAATTGGGCCAACTAAAGCTACTGGTTCTCCAGCTGAACAAAAGGAGGCCATGGCAAGTTCATTAATCCTTCATAGGGTCTTGCAGTTCTTCAACAATTAATTTCAGACCTGAGGAAATGGTCAAAATTCTGGTGATCAGAAGCAGCAGTGGAGGGAAATTAAATGCTGTTTGATCTTCTAGAGTCATGGTAATCTTTAAAGTGAACAGTGTGGATGAACAAACATTTTGATGAATGCTGTGAATGAATCAACCATTTAAACTATAGACTACAGTTTGTATACATCAATCTAAAAATATTT